ACACTGGTTCTGCCCTCCAGTCTCGTTAGGGCAAAATGTGGACATTTTCCATTAATTTGAGAACAACCGCATTGTTAACAGCATACTGAAGCGCGTTTCCCCAAGACACAAAGCCCGGTCATCTTTCAACACATTAATATGCTATGCCAAAGTCTGAAGTTTTTCTAAAGTTCTTCCAGATCTACTAAGCTTATAAAATCTCAGTAATTTTCCATGTGAAAAGACGATAGACAAGAGCAAATTTTCAGTGCTCTGACAGAACTGTGAATATTTTTTACAAAATCATCCTTTCCAGTGTATGGAAACATATAAAGACATGTTGAAATATAACAAACTTCAGGTTCAGTGGATGTAGGCTTTATAGAACTATGCATCCAAAGGATGATATTCAAGCTTTTGGAGGGCCAACTTCATCAGCCCCTTGGTGAGCCTTCTGATGCTATACAACTTACCCCCACACCATAACATCTATATGAGGGGGCTTCAAAAAGCTCACGAAAAAAATTCCACTATCTTTTACTTCCACTTTTCAAAAAAAAAAATTGGAAGCCCCCTCATTTTATAAAATATGCTACCTTTGTATTTCTTATTTACATGTTTAGACCTATTTCTTATTTACATGTTTAGACTTCTTGTTCTGTGGGGTGTGTTTAAATCATGAGGATTTCATAAATATTCTGTTAGCACTGCCCTTCTCTCTTCTTTTCTGAGTCTTTCTTTTTGTGACATTTTCCTGTGTTTTGAAATTACATGTAAATTACAAGATGGGAACAAAGCAACCTAACCTCTTCAAATATAGCTTAACTTTTTCTCTTAAAACTGAGGAAAAATAAGCTCTTCTTTTAGAATTGTTTACTGTTTATAGCAGAATGGCTGTAAGAGAGTTTGCATGTATTCTTTAAATTACAAATTCACTACAGTCTCTCTTCCTTATTCATAACTTTTGGATGTGCATATATATACCTCCATATGTGACAGTCTGAGAAGAATCCAACCATGGATGGATACGCTAAGTTTCATCAGGAGGACACATCAACAAATCTAAAATGAGGAACATTCTACATAGAAAGATAAAAGGAAGCATATAAAAAATGTTTCAGATTAAAAAAAATCAAACAGACATAGTAACTGTGTTCATTTGACCCTAAACTGGACCCCATTCTAGATGGGAAAACACTTTTATAAAGGATATATTGGAAAACCTGAAATATGGATCCTAGACTATCGTACTATATCAATGTTAATACGGATGCTGGATTCTAGTATTATATGAAGGTTAAACTATGCTAATGCTGATAATTGCACTGTAGTTTGGTAACAATATTCCTAATCTTTGAAAATATATACTGACATATTTAGGGATAAAAGGCTACGATGTATGTAATTTACTTTCAGATAAGAGGAGTGAGAGCAAACAGATGATAAAACAAATAGGGTAAAATGTTACCAACAGTTTAAAGTGGGCAAAAGATATAGAGGCATTCTCCTATTGTTATTCTTGCATATTTCCTATAAACCTGAAGTTGCTTCCAAATAAGCATTTAAAACTAGATTAAATTCAAAATGTGACTAGATATACTTGTTTTCTTTGGGGTTTTTTGTTTGTTTATGTTTGTTTGCTTTCTTTTAAGTTTATGTGAAAAGTATCCTTCCTCCCTAAGAAAATGTGTTTGTTCAGAAACATTTATTTTCAAGGAAGTTCTAAGAAAAACAAAATTATACACTGTAAAACCTAGAGTCTGCTGAATTAAGACGGTGTCCTTATGGTTTCTGTAAACAGTGGTTCTCAAACTTGAACATGCATCATAATCGCCTGTTGTGGTTTTTAAGTGCTGTCGAGTCTGTTCCAACTTGTAGGACCCCTGTATAGGGTTCCTCAGAAACAGTTGATGAGTTTGAACTCCTGACTTTTCAGTTAGCTGTCCAGGACTTACCCTACAGCACCACACCAGGACTCCAAAGACTCAGCTGTAGGCCTTTGTTAAAACAAGATGGCTGGGGCCCAATCTCACAGATTCTGATTCTGTAGTTCTGGAATGGGGCTCCAGAATTTACAACTCTAACAAGTTTTTCAGGTGATACTGCTGCTGCTAAACCTGACCACCCATTGATAGCCACAGTTATGAAGCAGCATCTAGTTTGAGTCATTCCTTTTACTGGATTCTTGCCTAAAACTAAAAGAAACATAATAGTTTTGGTGACTTACCAACAGGACGGGTCTTCATTTCACAACTAGAATTGTGGCACATCTTCAGTTTTGAGAAATAATTCAGAAGTTGAAAATATATTTCAATAGGTAGCCAAGTTAGAATTGGTCTGCTAAACCTCCAGCTTGGCTATTTACCCAGTAAAACAATGTTAATGGTGGTCTGGGTATCACTTTTCAGCTAACCTAAAAGTGAACACTAAGAACAATTGTTCCTCAGAACAATCAGGAGTCCTGGTGTGGTGCTGTGGTTTAATGCACTGGACTGCAAGGTCGACTTGACCCACAAGGTGGGAGGTTCAAACTCACCAACTACTCCTCGGAAACCCTATACAGGGTCACAATGAGTCAGAACTGATTCGACGGCACTTTATAAGAAAACAATCAACCATGGACCAAAAGGGCAGCATTTGCCCAAAATCAAAGTTAAGAATGCTGGAAAAGGCAGGAGAAAAAGATAAGTGGAAATGGGAAACCCAGGAAGTTAGTGGGAAGTATGCTGTTACACTGAGGAGACTGCAACTAATGTCATGAAACAAAAGACGTATAAATTCTTGAAAAGGAAACTAATTTACTCTGCAAGCTTTCACCCACGCCACAATAAAATATTCAAAGGAAAGAAAAAAAAGCAAAATAAAAGCTAAAAAAATAATGTTAAGGATGGAATAAGTACAGGGGCTAGCCCTCAATATTCAATCTCCTCTTCTTCTATAGCAATCTTTCTTTTTAAGTTACCATTGAGCCAACTCTTACTCATGATGACCCCATGTGTGTCAAAGGAGAAGTGTCCTCCATAGAGTTTTCAATGTCTGATATTTTGTAGTAGATCATCAGGCCTCTTTCCCAAGGTGCCTCTGGGTAGTCTCAAATTGTTGGTTAGTAGCTGAGAATATTAGCTACTTGTACCGCCAAGAGACTGCTCTCTATCAACCAAACCACAAGACCAGACTCACTGCCACTGAGTGGATTCCGACTCATGGCAACCCTACCCAGGGTTTCTGAGATTGTAAAGCTTTCATGGAGCAGACTGGCTCATCTTTCCCCATGGAGTGACTACTACCTTTGAAGTGTGACATTGCAATTGGCAGTCCAACACTTAACCCACAATGCCAAAAGAACCCTTGATTTAAGGCTGGGCAGAAAATAAAGACTACTTCTCCCTGTCTTCTGTGAAGCTAGTATGACCATGTGATAAACATGGTCAAAGGCATGCCCTTTAAGAGTCGAAGAGGGTTTTTGTCCTTCCCTTTGAAAGGACATGACCTGGAAGAGGGAAGAGTATCTTTATCTTCCTTCCTTTAATTTTCATTCCATCATATTTTCCAATGAAAAATAAGAGAAAACACTATCCATGTAAATATACCGAGTTTCAAACTTTTGAGCTTTTCTGAACCCAAATCATGCTCCATGCATCTGATTAATAATTTCCTTTGGAGAAGTGGCCTGTTACAAATATGAAAATGGTTTCCACTACCTCAAGTAATTTTCAATGTCACTTTTAATATATATGACTACAAAATCTCATTCTCCAAATTACATATGCTACGTTCTACTTAAGCAGAGAAATAACAGTGAGAAGAATTAATCATTTTAATTGAAGTAGAATGTTACATTTTCTTTCCCTTAATTCTTTAACATTTAGCTATAGTAAAATAAATATTAATCCTTCAAATACGGGAAGGACTGACCATAAAAAATCAAAAAGATATGGCCTACCATCAACATAAGGATAATACAAAGCTGGTGACTATAACTCAATAAAAGATGAAAATATTTTCATTGAATTAAAACCCCAGTTAAATCTGAGCTGGACTTTAGTAATGGAATCTCACACAAGCTTTGGCAAGAAATTCAGGACTCCATCAACATTTGTATGAGTAATTCCAGTTTAAAACTACATGATAACAGAATTTAGAGAGGTCTGAAAATCAAGAAAATAAAAAATATTAGCCTGGAAAGAAGTTAATCTTATCAATCATTATGTATATGACAAAAACCAGACAAGAGAAGAAAATGCATTTTGTAGTTGGCCATTCCAGACAGGTCAGTTTATTAATATTTATGAAATAGTGGCACTATGAAAATCTACACATAAAAGTGAAAGACGAATTTCTAAGGAGAAAGCTCAGGTATTCCAGTGTTTTTATCTCATTCCCATATGGCCTAATGATGCCTTTATTATCCACAGATTTTTATTCTTAAAGTAAGTCCATCAGCTTTTGTCCTTGAGTCAAAAGACTCAATCAATGTCTTTGAAAAGCAAAGGTATTTTTTTCTCACACCGGGCTTAAGAGATCCTCACATTGGCACAAGAAGTGTATTCCTAAAATTCCTAAACAAAACTCCACCTTGATATATTACAGATTATTATGCCATTGAGCCTACAAGTTGTGCCCTTTATAAGAATGAATGGTGCTCCAAAGAATAAGGTGCCTACTGAGTCCCTGGATGATGCAAATGTTTAACCTGCTCAGCTGGTTGCAGGTTTGAGTCCACCCAGATACATCTGAGGAAAGAACTGGTGATCTACTTCGGAAGAGTCCATCACTGTAAATCCTATGGAACACATTTCTACTTTGACACACCACCACAACTGGTTTCTGTATTGCTCTTTTGTGTTCTATCATAAGGGATGGCCTTCTTTCTCACTAGGCACCTGGACGTAGCTCTGGATGTTTGGATACATGAAAAGAAATCAAAATAATAAATTAAAGCTCCACTACTCAGAAGATCTTTTGTTTGACAAAGCCATGCCCTTTAAAACAGATTCAAAGGAAAAAAATCTTTTTCTTACCTTGTCTTTCAGTTTTGCCATCCAGCTTCTCACTAGGAAAAATAAGAGAATGAAGTGTGAAAAGCCATTTTTTATTTTATGTCATGGTATTAAGTTAATATGAGCGCACAATGAAGGTTCTGTTGTATGAAATGCAGTAAAAGATCAATAGTGTGAACATATGACAGTAATAGTCTTCCTTTTGTTCTCACTTATTTAAAAAGGCAACAGACAGCACAAACGCATCCCTCAAGTCATTATTAGATGAACAGAATATTTTTGCTTGCTAAATGATTTTTCTATTATTGAAACCTTGGGGGAAGTCTGTGGATAATGAGTAGAAATCACTTTTAAAATATCAAGATTTTTTTTTTATCTGACATTTTTTCTTTAGCTTTATTCCTCATCTTTTTCCATTCTGAGCTCAACAAAAATATAGCACCTGAATCAATGCCAGAGAGCAGAAATTAATATAAGAAAGGGCAACGGGCAACCCAAAGCTGCCCAGCACTAGCTCTGATAGGACACATTTACATCCATATTTGAGGAAGGAAGACTCTGACCAAAGGTAAGAACGGGAAATATTTCTGAATTATGTATAGCTTGCAAACTGCAGCATTCTGTCACAACATAAAAACTACTTAAAATAAAGTAGTTTTTATGAAAGCCAACTGAAAAGGACTGTACCAACTATGAAATATAATGTAGACCAAGACTATAACCATTTAAAATTATATATATTAAGTGTGGAAGGAAGTAGCCAGCAAAATGAAAATGGTTAGAATGGTGATGTTAAGGGTGGATGTGACTAGTGATGAGGCTTTTTGCCCCCTTAACTGTCTTTTAAAGGAGCTCTGGTAGCGTAGTGGTTACGAATCTGGCTGCAAACCCCATGGTCAGCAGTTTGAAACTACCAGCTGTTCTGCGTGAGAAAGATGAGGCTCTCTGCTCCTGTAAAGATTTACAGCCTCGGAATCCCAGTACAGGGTCGCTATGAGTCGAACCTGACTCCACGGCACATCACAACAACAACAACAACTGCCTTTTAAAGTTATACTAATGTTTTGACACAGAATAAAATTAAATTTTTTTAAAGCATGAGGAAGGATTTAAAAAGACAAATATATCTTCATTTTATCCTTATTGCCCAGTATCAGAAATTGCTGTTGTTGTTAGGTACCACACAGTCAGTTCCAATTCATAGCGACCTTACACACAACAGAATGAAACACTGCCTGGTCCT